TAATTTAACCGTACCGACCACATCTCTCTCCTTCTCTCTCTCTCTCTCTCTCTCTCTCTCTCTCTCTCCCTCTCTTTCTCTCTGTCTCTCTTTTGTTTTCCTTCTTCCACCTTTATACAGAAATATGCACACCACACAGATTTATGTCATCTTCAAAGCCAGATCATTGCCAGTCTCGTAACCTCCGAGCAAAAAGCATACTCCTTTTTTTTCTTCTTCTTTTCTTCCTCTTCCTCCACCACCACCTCCTCCTCTTCCTCGCGGCGCGTTACTTGACACGATAGCAGCGCAATTAACTCACACGCGGTTTCCTAGTTAAATTAAGAAAGGAATTTCATTTTCGCAGCGATTAAGAGGAAGCGTGCGGCGCGGAGGAACGCGTGGGACGCGCGAGACGACGCGCGGGTACAGGACACCTACGAGCCGCGCACTTATCATCGACACGAGGATACGATACGATGGAGCATAATATCGTGAATCGTGAAAGTAAAGCCCGAGGGAAAGAAGACATTTGATGTCTGAAGTCACGGTCTGCTTCTAATATGGCAGTCTAGCGCTTTTCCCCTTGGCCATCGACCAGACATTACGCGGAATCGCCAAACTCCCACTATTTAAAATGCCAGCGCGTGCCACGCCGTCTAGCTGATGATTCCGTGATTTCTTCCCAGGCGCGAAGATACGAAGCACCTGTCACCTCTATCACGCAGATTTCACTTTAATCCTGGTTTAATTTATTTTCTCATCTTTCTTTAGTTGGGACGAAAATTAGGAAAAAGTAAAAAAATAAATTAAAGTTAAGAGATATCGGTCAGGGAAGGACATTATCTGGCAATTTTAAGAAATTTTGTCGATATATAATTATATAATTAGAGTACCACATTATCTATATAACATTATCTTTAATGTCCTAATATAGAATGATACAAGTTAAATAATATTATAAACATATGTACATCACAATATCTGATCTTATATCATAAGAGTAATTTGTAGGCGAGTATTCATAGTTGATTCTTATCTTTAAAAAAAGAGAAAGAGAAAGAGAGAGAGAGAGAGAAAGAGATCATCTTAAGAACAAATCAATCAGAATCATATTAGCATCTTAAGATATTATTTCAAGCTGTTTTAAGATAAGGACGAGCTATGAATACTGGCCTTTTAGTAGTTATTTTAAAGAAAATGAGCCATTGGATCTTCATCGCGTTTGCGCTTCATTTGATATGCCTCTATCTCCTCAGCTGTCAATTCTTTTGCCTCATACATGCTGTTGTATGGACGTTTCCTTTCATCCATCCTCAACATCCTGTCTGCCTCCTTTGCGTTTTCCTCCTCCTTTCTCAATGCTTCTTTCAGCTTGTCCTCATCCTGTTCCGCATTGTTCCGCTTTTTATTCTTACGATTTTCTTTCCATTTCTGCTTCTTCAATTTTCGTTTAGCTGCTTTACTTTGTTTTTCCGTTTTGTTTCTTACATCCTCATCCTCGGACGAAGATTCACTGCTGGAGGAGTGATTGTTCTCTGCAGTATCAAGTTTATTATCCATTTCTTCCACCGCAGACATGATTTTGTCTGGTACAATGTTACTCACTGCCTCCACCGCTTTCTTTCCTGATTCTCCAGTGCAATATGAATTTTTAATGAAGGAATAACAGCATTTATAGCCCCATTTTCCATCTTGCCAGTAAGAACCCCAAATTGAGGTGTGATTGTTTGGATAAATATCTTCCTCATACTTGGATCGTATCACCTGTCTATCCTGTCCTTTAATTATCTTACCATACCTGGAATATTCGACGTAGTGTTCAGTCTGTGCCAATAACAGAGCCTTTGGTAGTGCCTTGAGATGCTCCTCGCCTCCGTAACGCTCGATTACGCTATCGCGCGCCTTATCTTTTAGCTCGTCGCGTTTCTTGTCATACTCCTGCTTCAGCATTTCCAGTTTCGTGGGCTCGGCAAGCAGATGAACGTCAACTCCCTTCTCATGCGCCTCCCAAGCAAACAATTGCGCATTGGCATGTTGCTGCGTATCCCCCGAGAAGCGTGCCGAGTTTTCACCTTTAAAATCTACCTCGCGTTCCGTACCAGCGTAAGGATTGTCTCGCATAGATCTGGTTTTTGGATCGTAATACGCCGAGTTTGGATCTAGATTGCGCAAATACTTGGCGGTGTCCTCTCGAATTCGGAGATTCCTCACAGTGATGCGCTGCTTGGAGTCAACCTTTGTGCCAGGCATGTCCACCTCGTCCACGTACTTATCCTCGTCCTTGTCCGAGTCCTGCTCGTCGTTCTCCTCTTCCGCGTTGAGCTTCTCGGCGCGCATCTGTCTCTTGGCCTCCTCTATCTTCTGATACTCTTCCACAATTGCCCTGTGCTCGGAGGGATCATAACCAGCCCACCTATCTCTTTTGCCATCGTAGTCCATAGACAGCTCAGGCTGGGTAAATTCATCCGGTGCTATCTTTGAGTTTGTGTACTTGGCTCCGACCTTGCGCGGTCTCTCCATGCAGTCCTTCCTCTTGTGAGTCATCGCGCCGCAATTCTCGCAAGCACCCTTGCGATACTTGGTGGCGATAAGCGAGCCATCCACCCCACGATTGTACCAGGCGTCTATGGAACTGTACTGCTTCTGCTTCTCCGGCTGCGGTCTCTGGTGCTTCAGGGTGGGACCCTGGGCACCAAAGTACCACGGTGTCGCGCTGATGTATTGCGGGATATGCGGATTGATGTCTTTACCCTCCTCGTCGACAGCTGCGGGAGCTGTACCGGCCTTCCTCGCCTCTTCCAGCTCCTTCGCTTTTCGCCAATCCTCCCTGCTCTTCTTTCGCGGCTCATCGTCGAACGAGCTCTTGTTCTTCAAGATGCTCGACACGGTTACGTTTGCCGACGAATTAGCCATTCTGTCGGGATTCCTTCACAGCTGTGTTTACCTCTCAGAGAATCTGCCCTTTATACTCGACTCTATTTACTTAATCTGAAACTTTACATCTAAATTGACGTATTGAGGTTATAACGCTGCTTCCCTCACGAGGATAACAATCAGACCGATCTTCAAGGACACCGTTATGTCAATACCATTTCTAATGCAGCGATCTAGTAAATTACTAGAATTGCACCAAACAGAACACAGCAATAAGGATAAAAAAAAACCAGCGGTTCTCCAGATGAGATAATTGACGCACGCGCGGATCCGGAATTGATGATGATTCTTCTCCGATGCTTCTGTGACAAATGTAATTTTTTAATGAGATGAGTGAAAGTGCGTAGATTGAAACATATCTCGTTTGACTGCCAAGGATTAATTACGAATGCAAAGAAGATGCGGTTATTGAGCTTTAAAGAATAAGAAAAATCAATATTGAAATTTATTCAAACAACAGGAAGGGATACCGAAGGACAGTCTGCAATTACAGGCAATTACATATCTGTGTTTTCTACTGTCTTCCACTACGTGAAAGATGTGGATTTATTTTGTGCTTGCCATTCTCGGCACGTTCGACTTCGCGACGGCTTCCGATGGTTTTGATTTCGGCGACACTTTAGCGTTGATTCTAGGATTAACCATCGGGATTGTCGGATTCTTCGCCTGCATGGGAGCTTATGCGAGGAGGCGAAACCACTTTGAATCTCTATGATGCTCCGCAATTGTTTTAAACACCTTCAACAGTGAGTAACGTTTGTCATCCAGGTCTCCTTGATCCTTTGAAAATATGATAAAGCATCCAATTTGAAGTCTCCTTCCCCAAATTGTGTTTTCGATTGTGATGCATTTGAATCTTATTGTGATTTTACTATGATTACAGAACAGATGAAATCTGATTTATCCAGGAAGATGACTGAGGCAAGGAAATTAAAAAGCCATTTTATATTTTTTGTATGTATAAAAAAACTTGGTTTTGTAAAAATATTCTTAGATGATATCTGTTAAAACATACTATCTTTACAGAATGTTGAATTTATGTATAATATTTAATTATCTATTATGTAATAAAGAATATAATATATAATATATAATAATATAATATATATAGTATTTTATTATTCCAAATAATATTAGGTCAATATCGTCTGATATAAGAAGACAGTTAATCTCCATTGTATCAAGTACTTTATTTTCCTTCATCAATTTTCATTATATTAATTTACATTTAACGTCTTTTTGATAAACGTTATTAATAAAGCT